CCAGTATTATGACTAAAGGAAATATCATTTTAGGCCCCATCCGTTGCGTTACTGATAATTTCGTCAACCGGCTTGGGTATTCGAGAAGAGAACGAAAGTGTTATTTTAAAGGTAGGACGAATACATTGGACAACCTTTCCACAACGACAGAGTAGAGAAAGCTATAATAAATAAAAACATGGAAGCATCTGAAATATTAAAAGTCACTGGCCAAGATGAACAGATGTTGTCAGCTTGAGACGATTTCAGCATCGACAAGATTTCTGAAATAATCAACTAAATGTATGGCAGTAGCGAAATACCGGACTACATAGCGGTAGATCTATCTTTATAGTGATGTCAAGGAAATCAGGTGCAAAGAAATGTGAGCTCCAAGAAATAATCAAGCCAATGAGTTGCATAACTAAGCCTATAATTAGAATTCTAACGAAAAAAGCTCGTAGCAGAAATTAGACTAAAATAGACTGAGAGCAATGCGACAATCTTTAACACATTAGAAGAAGCCCACTCCTTGATTCGAATGCAATGAGAGCGCACAATACAAAAGACCTATACTTATGTTTTATAGATTAAGCAAAAACGTTTTATAATGTACAACAGAAAAAAAAAACTAGTTGATCTAGTTGGTGAAATAATCTTCAACATTTAGTGGAAACAAACCGTCTGCGTGTGTAAAGGAAATTAGTTAATCAAGTACATAAAAACAAAACTAGAATAGAATCGATTTCGAAGAGGTACCAATATTTATTATCAATGACCAAAACCAGAGCAGTATAAGGTACACGAATAACACTGTTTTGATGTGGGACTGAGAAAAAAATAAACTGCAAGTAACAGACAGTGCGGTAAAAAGAAAAAGCGAGAAGAAAAGACTAACCTTTAGCTCGAAGAAAACGGGGTCGTAAACAAGAGACATATATTTGCCTCTCTTGTTTACAAACCTGTTCTCTTAGTGAGATTCGAATTGCAGAAATCAACATTAAGACGTCACAGAAATGTAATTTGGGAAGTGTGGTGACAAATAAGTGAAAATGTAATGCAGAAATGAGAAGGCGCGTCGGAATAGCAAAAGATGTCTTTCAAAAAATAAGCAAAGTATTAAGAAATATGAAAAGTGGACAAAGACTAACTATTTTATAAAACGAACACTAAGTCAGTCTCTAAAGAGGCTTCATATCTTCACACACACTCACATGCATGCATATAATTTTTTTCATATAGACAAAAACAGTTTAGTTAGTTTCGTCTATATGGAAAATTATAATAATTAATTATTGCTCTACTATCGGTATTGAGAACACTTTTGAATTAATACTGTGAACGTTAGACTTTATATATTATTTTCGTTCTCATGACATTCGGATATATATATATATATATATATATATATATATATATATATATATATGAAATGTCTTATTTATTTAATATATTTTCTGTTTATACGTTATTTTATTAGATACAATTTATTTAATTGAATGATCTGTTATTTTTTTTTTTTAATCAACAGTATTAACTACATTTACCGGCTGAATGTTCGAGAAATTTCGTAAAAATATGTGCTTCGTCGATAGAAATCGAACATGTAACCCCAATGGGAACCATCATTTGATCTGATTTGCCGTTAACCATTCAGCCACAAAGAATGATCTGGTTAGCAACGTACAAATTACTGTTTATAAACACCAAATCTTCTACGATCTTTCCCGCACGATCATATCTGCACACAATATATATATATATATATAATTCAAATTTTTAGCTAGTGTTGGAGGGTAAAATTATAGATATTGTGTTTTGGATATTAGCAGTACCGTCGACTTTTTACGGCACTTCTAATATACTTCGACTTTATATATATATATATATATATATATATATATATATATATATATATATATATATATATATATATATAGTTTTAAAGGTTGCTATATTTATGGATAAATATATCAGAAATAGAGCTTATGTAAATATAAAAGTGGGCACTACAATCAACACCGAGTGACGACAGTCTGCTTCGAGCTTGAACGCAGATTTCATGGCCTGAAGATTGTGTGCAATCATAAAACAGGCTGTCGCAACTCGGTGTTGACATCGGTATCCACTTTTATATATATATATACATACATATATATATATATATATATATATATATATATATATATATATATATACAGCGTAACCCGGATATAAGAGACCCGGATATAAGAGAGATTTTCTCTGGTCCCAAATTAGAGCCTGTGTTAATGTAAACAAAATAGACCAAACCCGGATATAAGAGAAACCCGGATATAAGAGACTTCTTCTCCGGTTCCGACAACTCTCTTACATCCGGGTTACACTGTATGTGTATGTATGTATATATTTCGATAGCAAAATCTCTCTAAAACATGTGTGTGTGTGTCTATGTGAAGATGTATTTATCTCTCACGTCTTAACAATGCGCATATGTACATATTTCTCTCTAAACTCTCCATAAATACATGATGAAGCACATACATATACACGCCTTCACTTACAAATACATATTTTATACATAGAAGAAAATTTAAAATTTATATGTGTGTGTGTGCGTCTGTCTATTTCTGTCTGTGTGTCTGTGTGTGCGTGTGTGTTTGTGTGTGTAAATAGTTATAACTTTATATTTATGCACTGACTGAAGATATATACGCCATGTTTTAATCAATACCTGTATTATATATGCTCATGAGAAGTAGATTTGATCAAATGATTTATAAACTTATTCGTTCGCATGTAAAGATGTACTTTAAACAATGCATTAGAAACCTCCCTCCCGAGCCAGCCCCTCACCACCCTGACCTTTTCTATCGACGTTTTCTACCCTCCGCCTTTTCTCATTGCTTTGTTTATTTGAAGATCATTTGAAAACTCTGTACGCCTAACTGAATGAACCCACTTCTCTACAGGTGAACCTCTTCGCCCTAATTAGGGGAAGAAAAACAGACTTTGCCACAGTGCACCATTTTCTGTAGACGAAGAGCCCAGCTCATTAGACATTATCACTGACGACAATTTAATAGCTAGCTATCAAACTAATTCAGTATATATCTATATATAATTCAGTATATATCTATGGATAGGTAAGTATGTACCTATCAATATATGTGCATTTAGATAGATAGCATGTCATTTATTATGTAATGTGCGTATGCGTGCAGTGATTACTTTACCGATTAATTGTGGACTTATATTAATTTAACCTTAAATTTCAATCTCATTCTCCCTCCCACTCTCGCCCTCTTTCTCTCTCTTATTATCCAGAGTATTCAAGTTCAGAGAGAACTTCTCTCTCTTTACACACACACAGAGACACACACAGACACACATACACGCACACACGCATATATATATACATATATATATATATATATATATATATATATATATATATATATAGATAGATAGATAGATAGATAGATAGATAGATACAACGCAATTGATATAATATGAAAAATAGCGATAAGATTATATGCAATTAAAAATTATATGTACAGGCTGGCATCTGAATAAAGCTTACAGATATTTTTCATATATTCTATCTTATAGAATCTGTTCAGATATATATTCATTCACATATAATATA